AACAATAACAACAAATGTGTAATCAATTGATATTGACAAATCACAATATACGATTATGAGTAGACCATAGAATAGAACCGGAACCCTCCAGCGACCATTTTTCATAATACATAATAACCGTTCAAAAGATTCTAATCTATTAAAATTTTCACAATACAATAAGTAATAGTCCAAAACATTAACAATAAATAATACTCATATAAAATCTCAGACAACTTTTAACAATGTAACAACAACTGATATCGCAATGATAAGCTCAATGCAATAACAATTTCAGTCTCAGCACTTTAGATACAGCTTCAAATAAATATAAAGTAATACTTTCGAGAACATGTCTCTGCTGCAATAAACAGTTAAACAGATAAATGCATTCATTAGAAAACATCTAAAAATTCATGCAAATATAAAAACAACAGAAATGACGAAATAATTCGATACAATAATATCATTTAACTTTGATTTTGCTTTTGCATACTGACTGATCATGTAATGACTTTAACTCATACAGAAGATGTTTCATTAGAACCGATAACACATGAAACACCTATCTCATTATATCATTTGCTATCAGATCAGATCAAAGCATCAAATCAAGCTGATGATCCATTCACATTCAAACGTTCGAACTCCTTGTCACTATCGATATCAGATGCTGAATCTTTCTTACGAGATACCGCATTCACATCATCTCCTGATGCTCCAAAACTGCTGTAACAATTCGCTTCTTGTGATTAATATTTAATCATAAGTCATGTTTCAACACAACAATTATTGTATATTCGTAAATACCGAATCAATCTATCTGCGAATAAATTTTTCAGCTAAGCCATACTGGAATAAAACAAAGTTAAAAGATGAACAAACTTGGGACTTTGTGTTGAGCACTGATTTTGCTCTGCATTCTTTGGTCTTTGCCATGACGGTAACGCTATGGGTTTGAAGTTGATGTTATCAGTATTATTGCTAGTGTTATTGAGGTGATTTCTAGTGGGATGGAGAGTACCGTTGGGTATTGCAGCGAACTGATTTTGATTCAATAAAAGTGATTTAACAGTTGAGATATCGTTGCGTAAACGTTCAATTTCACTCCGAGTTGAATTTACTGAAACCATCCAATAGTGTTTCATTGATAAACGTTTAGTTCGATTAATTGCGACTAAGACCCAATGAAATGCATTTGATTTCCTAAGATGATTTCCTTCGATAACAACGTTTCACTCCTCCTTAACGAACAGATCATCTAAAAAAACATGGCAAATCAACAATTCCCCTTAATAAATTCCAACTTTCAAACAGAAAACATCCGCAGTTTATGCGCCTCTCAGTTCTCAAATCCTGAAATTTACTGGTACTTTAGTAATACTGATAGCAACATACCTTGCCCGCCATCAATGGAATTGATTCTCAACAGTGCATTCAACTGTTCCTGTTGTTTATTTATCGTCTGCAGTGTTTGCACACAACTATCAATTACGAATTTCATTGAGTTTTGCAATTCATTCATCTGAATACTTTTCATGGTTATTGTTCAAATTTGACTTTCAATCCATTAATACTCTATACTGTTCAAGATTTTTTGCTGAATCTTTAACTTGAGAGCTAATCCAATGGGCATTTTTATGCATTATCAATGAATGATAATCGGCAATAATCTGTTAATCGTCAATAAATAAACTTGAACGTTATGAAAATGATCAATATGATTATGACAATCATATTAATGACAGTGACATTGTACCTGTTGCTGCACTTGTCGTTGTTCTTCTTTCGCAGGATCGGGTACGTTGAAGAATCGAGGCAATACAAACGATCTGATAAATTTATAACCGGCAAACGTGATGGCACCCAAAACCACGAATGTATTCATGAATTTCATTATTCGATCACCACTACCACTTGGTGCTGATTGCATTTGATATTGATACTGATGAAGTGAGCTATCGTTCTGAATTTCATTCATCTCACTGATTCGGACTGCTCAATTGAGCTTTTGATTGGAAGGCAGGCAATATGAATGTCGTATATCGTCTATCGAAAAAAATGGATGGGTAGTCATTAGAGTTGGGTCAGTGGCCATCTACGGAAATCGGATGGGACTGA